TTGCCGGACATGTAGTGTGGTGGACAGAACAACAACAGGTATAGATTTTACCGCGACTGTCCCAGAGGGTGAATGGCGAATAGCTCCTAACTGACCATATTCATAATGGACCCCGGTCTTAATGCGACCCATTCCCGAGTGTTGTGTAGTGTAGTGTGGTGTGGTAGTGTTTGGTAAGGTAAGGTAAAATTAGGTTCGGTTTGGTGGAGTAAGTTAAGGAAGGTTTGGTTGGGTTTGGTTAAGTTATATTTGGTTGTTAGGTTAGATTAGGTTAAGTTTGACTAGGTTAGGTTATTTAGCTTAGGTTACGTTAAGGTCTTTAAGGATAGGTTCATTTGACCGGCAATCACCCTCGAGTATTACAGAGGCGCGAGGAGATAAGCGTTAAACTCTGCGGTCTTTGCTACCCACGTTTCACTATCTCGGTAACTCCGCCTAGACCGAGATAGTGTTCACGTCAGTCTGCTGCACGGTGCGTCTGAACACTGAGTGACTTGAACGACAAAGGTCAACACGAGCTGCTATCATCTATATATGGATTATATCAAGTGAGAGTGAACAGGTGTATTTTAAACAGATAGGTGGTGGGGGGGGGAGATCTCTGTCTCCAATACGTGTCCAGTGTTTAAGCTTCGTCCTGCCAGTAAGCGTCGGTGTAAACTTCATAATTACAGTGGAATTATTATTACATATAATAGTATTAATGATGTTTATTGATATTATGATATTTTCAAAGCCATAATAATAATAATAATAATAATAATAATAATAATAATAATAATAATAATAATAATAATAATAATAATAATAATAATAATAATAATAATAATAATAATAATAATAATAATAATAATTGTATTGCCAAGCTTTGTGTATATATACCATCAAGTCTCAGATTAGTCTGGGCATATTATAATTGTGTGTGAGTTGTTCGATATAACAGTAGGTGATTTTTTTTACTATACTTTCAATGATATCACCTTAGGCTTGCTTCACACGGTCGCTTTTGCATTTCCACGATCAGTAGTTCAGTATCACCGCTACTTGGTCTCCTACGATGTGTTCCTGAAACATTATTGGTACTCATAAAACTGAATAGGCTATACAGTGATGACTTACCTATGTATAATATGCATAGGCTACATATATGTAAATAACCTATAATAAGAACTTTAAATACGCAATTAATCGGTAACAACTCGCATAATATATATATATATTTTTTTACAATATTCAAACCTCACTTAACAGTACTATACATCAAACTTCACTTACAATACATCACTTATAATACATCAGACATCACTTATAATACATCAGACCCATCAACACTAACTTCATCAGCTCGCCGTAATGCCTTAGTTAATGGCTCGGTTCCTGGCACCTAACTTTGCTCTTTGCCAACATGCGTACCCGAGTCGTTTGGGGACTCCCCTTACCTACCTTACCTGTCTCCTTACCTCACCTTCTGTACCTTTAATTATCTTCCTCCTCACCTTCTGTACCTTTAATTATCTTCCTCCTCACCTTCTGTACCTTTAATTATCTTCCTCCTCACCTTCTCTACCTTTAATTATCTTCCTCCTCACCGTATCTACCTTTAATTACCTTTTTCTTTGCCTCAAATACCTTTTAATTATATTCTTCTTTACCTTACCTACCTTTAATTATCTTCCTAATTATCTTCCTCCTTACCTTCTCTATCTTTAGTTATTTTTCTCCTTACCTCGCCTACCTTTAATTATCTTTCTCCTTACCTTTCATTCCACTGTTCCTCTTCCTCTTCCTCCTCCTCCCCATCCTTCTCCTTGCTCTTCATTCCTGCTCTCCACCCATAAGTTGCCAACTGGGTAATATATATAATGGACCCTCTCATAACCTTCCCGTCCTCCTCCTCCTCCTCCTCTTTCTCCTCTTCCTCCTCCTCTTCCTCCCTCTTCCTCTTCCCTCCCTCTTCCTCCCCTCCTCTTCCTCTTCCTCCTCCCCACCGATCCCTTCTAGGTAGCTATAATCCTATAAAATTTTCATAACGTGTTAATCCTGTGTGTGTGTGTGTGTGTGTGTGTGTGTGTGTGTGTGTGTGTGTGTGTTTATCATACGTTTTTATAAATATTCAAGATTATCAGTGTGTATTATGTCCTTAGTCATGGGTGTACTGTGTTTGTGTGTGTACGTATGCATCCAAAAGTACCTGTAAGTGAATGTCTGTATTAAAAAACATCTCCGTGTTCGTGTGTATCCAGAATTACATGCACAGTATATAGTGTTATGTACCAGAAGCCAGAATGTTAATGTTTGATCGACAATATCTTTACTGTCCTCTCAAAGTCACAAAATTTAGTTCATGTTGCTATAATGATTGCAGCGCCTTATTTACATCACCTAAGCCTCCTCGTAATACTCTCCGCTCCACCTACAGTAACGTTGTCATGGTGACGGATGACGGGGAAACGGTTGCTGATAAGTCAACCAGAAACCTTCGGCCCCCACCCCCTCATTCCCCCTTCTTCCCATCTTTCCCGATCCCTCCTTTTACCACCTCCCCTCCGTCCCCCCCCCCTCCGTCCTCCCCTCCCCTTCCCTCCGTCTCCTCTTTCCACCTTCTTCCGCCTCCTCACTCTCTCAACATCTCCCTCCACACTCCCTCTCACTTCCTCTTATCGTCTCTCTCACGACCCTTTCTCCCCTCCCCCTCATATATCAATCTGCCACTACAGTCACCTCATCATCCGCGCTGTCTCACCACACTTCTTTATAAATGGTTAGAAAAATGAGGTTTATTCCCGACAACCTTATTTTAGCAGAAGTCTCCATTAAAACGCGGACCAAAACATCCTCAAACAGGTCTCACGTGTGACGTCATAGACCTACGTAATTTTTTCAGTCTACAACTTTCTACTACGTAAATATATTTTGGAGTTTGAACAATATAACTTAAAAAATTACACCTGAAAAATCGACATAGTATTTACCCCGTTCATATATACATAAACATACATATATACACACATATATACGCAAACATATATATATATATATATATATATATATATACACACACACATATACATATACACACATATACACACACATACACATATGTACACACAAACTAACGTATGCGTCACCAGCCTGGTCGTCTTCTCTCAACTCCACCCAACAACGTCAGCTAGAGAAGGTACAGAAAAGGGCCTGCAGAATCATGCTCGGCGCAGAGTACTCCGGCTACACCAACGCTCTCTCCACCCTGGAAATGCCATCCCTCAGTGACCTCCACCACCAAGCACTAGCAAGGTTTGGCAGTGGACTACTGCACCATCCTCGTCGTCGCCACCTCCTGCCACCGGCAGTCCCCCGCCCACCTCGCGCAGTCCGCCACTACAACAAAATTCAGTCCATAAGAGCCTGCACCGATAGATATAAGAACAGTACCATCCCATCTATTGTTAAAATAATAAACAACCCCTGATTTATGTACTGCACAGCCCTGTAAATGTATTCAACGCATATCATTATGTCTAAATCAAATGTAACTTTGTATATTTTCAGCCACCGGCTGCAACTCTATTAATAGACCGTTTATTACTATAATTATTATTATTTATTATTTACACACACACACACACACACACACACACACACACACACACACACACACACACACACACACACACACACACACACACACACACACACACACACACACACACACACACACACACACACACACACACACACACACACACACAGGTCTTTACTGCAGGAACTTTGTTCACCATGACTGATGAATTAATTATTGTGGTTTATTATTCCCTGCGTCCATCTGTCTGAGTTTGGGCTATTTTAACCCACACCACAACTTCTATAATTCACACGTTAACCTAACCTAACCTAACCTCACGAGTGACCTGACTGACGGAAGAGCAGAAGTTTTTCCTAAACACTGAGGTCATAAGGTCAAAAGGTCATCGTTATCAGAACCTAACATGACCTAACCCTCATGTACCTTTATTATGATAAACAGAATATGATGACTATAGTTTTATTAAATCACGTATTATAAAATAAACAGTCTCTCTCTCTCTCTCTCTCTCTCTCTCTCTCTCTCTCTCTCTCTCTCTCTCTCTCTCTCTCTCTCTCTCCTCTCTCTCACTTTTAATTTGGTACTCCTCATGCTCACATTCAGCGTCACAACTAAAACTCTCAAAACACCAGATAATAAAACATTGAATTGTTTGTGGGTCTCTTGTGTGTGTGTGTGTGTGTGTGTGTGTGTGTGTGTGTGTGTGTGTGTGTGTGTGGCTTTTCATTTTATATTCGAAAAACAATTCCTGCCTCCAACACACCGGTCTCTAACTCCTCCCTACCTCCAACACATCGGCCTCTAACTCCCTAACTCCAGCACATCGGCCTCTAACTCCTACCTCCAACACATCGGCCTCTAACTCCTACCTCCAACCTCACCTCCAACACTCACCTCCAACACATCTACCTCAACACATCCTCCAACACCTACATCAACACTCTCACCTCAACACACAGCCCCTCCAACACATCCTCCAACACCTACCTCCAACACTCACCTCCAACACTCACCTCCAACACATCACCTCCAACACATCACCTCCAATACTCACCTCCAGCACTCACCTCCAACACATCACCTCCAACACTCACCTCCAACACTCACCCACCACCACTGACACATGCATTACCATATTACACCTACATTTCATTTAAATTTCTGACAATTACTGAGCATTCGAAACAATAAAGGGCATATGTAGCTTTATTTGGCTGGTGGGGCGGGGATGGGATGGGATGGGATGGGATGGGATGGTATGGGGTGGGATGGGAGAAAGGAAAGCAAATAATGTTGTGTTATGTAGAAAATATGTTACGTATATGTTGATGAAAATATTATTATTATTATTATTATTATTATTATCATCTGCCATACGTCTGTGTTAACTCCGGGTTGTGTTGTTTATCTTCGGCAGCATCCTGTTCGCAGACATTGTTGGATTCACCGCCATCTCCTCCACCTACACCGCCTCAGAGCTCGTCAAGATGCTCAACGAACTCTTTGCCAGGTTCGATGGTCTCGCTGAGGTAAGTTACTGTACCCTGTAACTTGTCAACCTCGACACCTGGACCTGAACTTCGTCTTAATAACTGGCAATATTTCTCTCTTAAGTTTCTTCAACTCCTTCACTGTTCTTGGTCTATTTACAAACTAATATGAACTCTGGATATAATAGTAACTCCTATTTCTCCCTGGATAGTTTACAATAGTGTTGTGATATTGTAAATTACACCCAAACAACTAAAAGTGTGTTATTAATAATGAAATTTATGAGTTATCTTTGAAGTAATGTGATACGGAATGATAACTTGAATGAGAGAATCCACCAAGTTACTTATATTTAGTGGTTTGAAGGGGAATATTCTTTTTATTTCTACTGGGATATGGCAACTGACAGCACCCAGCCACGTAAACATGACAACGGCAACACCAGAAATAATTTTATTTACTTTTGATTAAAATGTATCGTTGTCCCCCATCTGGTACCCCCACAAATTCAAGACCCCCTCCTGGCCCCACCCCAAGACCTCCCCAACAACCCCAAGACCTCCCCCATGACCCCAAGACCTCCCCAACAACCACAACCTCCAGACTCCCACAACTCAAAAATATAATCCACTATCTTTAAATCTGTATCTTGTCAGGTCTCTCAGCTGATTAAACCCGAGATATGTTACAATAATTTTAGTAAGTATTTTAATAACATGTGTGAGTGACTGACAGTTCTATTATTGTATTTTGTTTCTTAGGGTCATAGTAAATCAGCCATTGTGTTTGTTTGTTCTTATAAGTATATCCAGTATATTATTTTTCATTGAGACATTTAAAACATTTGTATAGGAAAAATCCGTTATCTCGAGGGTCTGTTATTTCCGACCCCCACCCCCCTATAACGGATTTTACATTGAGAGAAGTTCGTTATATGGAGGTTATAGTTAGTGTGTGTGTGTGTGTGTGTGTCCAGACATATGAACGTATTTAGGGATTAAACCAGCTGCAGAACCTTCCGCCTTTTTCTGCGTCTGTAAAAATCACTTAATACGCTTAGCAGACTACGGCCATTAGTGGAGCTGGTCACTCACTACCTCCCTACGTAACACTCCTCACCCAGTCACTCCCTCCCGCCTAACACTCCTCCCACCTAACACTCCTCCACCTAACACTCCTCCCACCTAACACTCCTCCCACCTAACACTCCTCCCACCTAACACTCCTCCCACCTAACACTCCTCCCGCCTAACACTCCTCCCACCTAACACTCCTCCCAGCCGCTAACACCTTCCTAACTCTCCCACCACTTCCCTTATACTTATTTCCCTCCCACCTTCTTCTTTTCCTCTCCTCCTCTTCTCACTTAGTAATCCAATACCCCACCCGACTCCTCTTCTTCCTCCTTATTTACCTTCCCCCACCATCCACACTCCTTCCCTTCCCTCTCCCACCCTCCCCTCTCCCACCCTCCCCATCCTCCTGCCTCTCCCTCTTCATCATCCTTTTCTTTCCTTTTCTCCTAATACCGCTCATTCCTTCTCCTCTCTCCATCACCCCCTTCCCCTCCACCCCCCCCTTTACCACCGCATCAAAGGATTACCTCCATCGCCCCAGGCTCGACCTTCTACGGTTCACTGTGTCTAGAGAGCCTTTTTTACTGTTGTGGCATCACTTTTACTTGTAACTAAGGTTGCCAGCTTTTTTTCTGATTGGTCGCCTGAGAGAATTATCCGCCTTTGCCCTTGGCCTGCTTACACCACACGCCCCTCCCTGCACCCCCGGCACATCCAACCCAAGCTAAGGCAGTTTTTTTTTTTTTTAATTCCTAGCTGCCCCTTCTAGGATTAGCTTTACGTTAGATCAAGTTACGGTAGATTAAGGTTGATAGGATTTGGTTAAGTTAAATCGGGTTGGATATGGCAGGTTAATTTAGGTTAGGTTAGGTTAGGTTAGGTTAGGTACCAGTGACTTGTGTCTTGGTTCCTGGCTCAAGATCCGTTGGGACTGTAAAGTATAAGTGAGATTAAATATATAAGTGCTGTGAAAAGCATAAGTTATGGTACAGTATGACTTGTGAAGTGTATAAGTAGCCTACTGTGAAATTTGTAAGCGCTGTGAAGTATATAACCATTGGTTGTATTACGAGTGATTCATCAGTTCACATAATTGACTTACTCTAAAACATTACATTTATTGGTCGTGTAGGACTTTTTGTGTCTGTGTCGAATGGTTTATGGGGTTGAATGTGGAGCGTGTCTGTCTGTCTAAAAGATTTGGTGTCGGAGAGAGAGAGAGAGAGAGAGAGAGAGAGAGAGAGAGAGAGAGAGAGAGAGAGAGAGAGAGATGGGAGACTTGAGATTTAGGAGGCCAAGATAAAGTGGAGGAGAGATAGATTGTTATTGATGGCCTCTCGTGACGTCATATAACCAATGTTTACACCTGTCATCAGTCATGGTGAGTGGTAAGACATGGCGCCACGGTTCTTGCATTATTTTGGCGGTCGGGAACAGAAAGACATGGCTATATAACACGGTATATTATCCTGGTAGATAACACGGTAGATTATCCTGGTAGATAACACGAGATTATCGCTGACAGGCTCGATGGATGACAGTACACCTAGACAGAATGAACGGTAAGAAGGCTGGAAGATTCATGTGATTTAGCCTGATTTTAAAGTCAAATATAATGAAAGACAAGTTTATTATATCAACCTCCACTTAACGAACTGTATATAGAGATGAAGGTCCGTTATATCGATGATCCGTTAGATATGAAACCCCGATCTAACGGATTGTATGGAGATTGAAGCCCTTTATATGGAGGTTTCACTGTATCAGGTTTGGGTGACAGTATTACAGGCGTGGAGGAATTTAAACAAAGAGAGGACATCAGGTGACCTCACTTGCTGGGTCTCGTTCACCTTAGTTTACCTGTTGAGTAATGACAAGGTATTACGACAGGTTAATGTGGTTACCCCCCTACTTTAGCACACCTGTGAATTATAAACACGGAAGAAATCTCTATATGATTTTGATAAGATAGGATAGGTTAGGTTAGGTTAGGTTAGGATAGGTTAGGTTAGGTTAGGTTAGGATTAGGTTAGTAGGTTAGGTTAGGTTAGGTTATATTTGTATACACCACCGGGACCTAGCCCAAATAATGCTTCCTTCGGTGACTCGTTATTTTTCCAGCTAAACTGTTTGATGGTCAACACTATTGTATATTTTTTGACCCAACTGATGGCAAATAATTATAGTGTGTTAGGTCGTCACTCTCCCCAAACACAAAGAGAGGAGCGGGTTCATTAGCCTTTGATCATCAGTTATGAATTAATCGTCAACAAAATTTACTAAACACGGGAAATAGTGGTTTTTTTTTCTTTTAGATAGAAAATTATTAAATTATAAATGAATGAATTTTACTTGGGATAAACAACATGTCTTGTCCAGTGTTCAGGAGTCACGTGAAGATTAACCCTCAGTTTATTTCATATTAACATTAAACCAAACCTAACCCCGCCAAGTAGTGTTAAGGTTTTTAATCATCACTTCAAATAAACTGAATGGAGGCGGAAGAGGGAGGGAGGGGGGTAATGTTTATGTATTCCAGCTGTAGCTTAGATTTGAATTATGACTTTATCGTCTCATATGCCAGCTATGCTCTCTGTTAGTTGGTGTCGTCGTGTAAACAATGATCACGTAATCCATGGCGCCCCGTGCAAGACGTTTAATAGAGACAGAAGGAGACTGTGGCAAGATGTTGTAGCGAGGATTGTGGTAAGGATGAAGGCTACGGGGGAGGAGGGGAGTGTTGGAGGGGAGAATGGGGTAGAGGCCGCGATATTTGTAGGTGAGAGGTAGACATAGTGGTGTTGGAGGCGGTGGTAAAGGTGATTGGAGATAGCAGTCGTGATTGGTGGGGGTGGTAGCTAAGTAGATGGTTGGGGTGGTGATGGTTGGGGGTGATGGTATAAGTGATAATGGAGGTGTGGTTGAGGTGGTACATGTATGTTGAATTAACAAATCCAACACAACAGCCAAAATGGATCTATGAGTGGTGCTACAGACGTTCAGCTGCCAGGGACTTCAATTGGTATCAGATAGAACAGATGCATGTGTTGTGACGATTGTGTGGCGACTAAATTCTTATAAATGACTGACCACCAAACAAAATAACATCGTCATAGAACAACAGAAACGATACAACCAAAGAATCCCTTCACCATAATTAACCAAATATTCAAGTAACTGTGACTAAATAAATAAATAAATAAATAAATAAATACAGATAAACATAAACAGTTACCGACAACCAATACAAATTCTAAATTGCCACTCCTCCCAACATACTTTCCAGTGTTTTATCCTGTAATAATAAACGATAACCTATGTTGACTCCTCTCCTGTTTACTCACTTATACTGCTGCAATACGACCGACTGTCACACAATCAGGAACTAAACCAATACTGGAGGACTTTAAATCTCTTCTTGAAAACATGAGGG